GTTATGAGCATATATCAAGCGGATCCAAGCTTAGAGCACTAGAAAGTTGTAAAGTGTATCCTTAAGTACTTGAGAAGGACTAAGGATCTTCTACTGGTATATGGAGGAAGTAGCCTTAAGGTTGAGAGCTATATGGACTCAAGCTTCTAGTCTAATGTCGATGATAGTAAGTCTTATTAGGATCGAGTCGGCACTAAGAGGGGGGTTTGAATTAGTGTAGCGGATAAAATCACCATTTTAAAAAATTCTTCGTTTGATAAAACTAATATCGGAAAGATAACTTCAAATCTCATTCATAAGCATAGTGAAAGCAGTAAGTAGGTAAGGCAGTTTTCATTAAAGATAAATTACAAGAATGGAAATGCAAACCAAGTTTTATAGTGGTTCGGTTGTCGTGACCTACATCCACTTCGCCGATTCCTCTTCCGTCGAGGCCACCGGCATCCACTAATGATTTTCTTTCAATGGGCGAAGATCAACTACCCTTATAAGTCAATTCTTCTTTTGACAGGTTCAGGAGTGAACCTTTACAACCCCCTTCACTCCTCTCTTAAACAAGACTAACACTTAGAGCTTGAGAGGAGTTCTTATAAGATTACAATAGCGTTTTTGTTTCTTTTTTCTTTCAATTCTTGTGTATGTTAATAAGGGATGAGAGGGCTATTTATAGGCCTCAAGTGGATTCAAGCTTGGAGCCTAAAAGTGTCTCATCCTAGGTTTTTCGGGTCTTGGCGGTACTACCACCTAGTCTAGCAGTACCACCACCTACAAGACTGTGTCTGGGCGGTACCATCGCCTGACAGTCTCGGAGACTGAGTTTGGGCAACACCACCACCCAAACTAGTGGTACCACCGCTTGACATAGTCTCAGAGACTATGCCACGACGTTTTCACCTATTGGGTCACTGTTTGGGCCTTCCACTTGGCCCAACCCAAACTTGACCCCTAATTGATTTGGCCCAATTCCAACCCACTTATATGCTAACTATGAATTTTAAGGCATACACTAAGCTAAATAAGTCCAGTAAGTCTAGGTTTATTCCGGCGAGCTTCCGGCGATCTTCCGGCTAACTTCCGATGATCTCTCGGCAATGTTCCAGCGGACTCGCGGTAAGCTCCTAGACTTCACAACGATCTTCTTGGCGAGTTTCGATGAGCTTCTTTGGCAAGCTCCTAGACTTCTCGGTCAATTCCGATATAACTTCCGACGAATGTCTGGACTTCCGACGAACTCTCGAACTCCCAACGAAATCTCGTTCTTGACTCTAGGACTTCATTTTGCTTTATGCCTTAATCGCTATCATAGTTAATCTTGCACACTTAAAACCTACTTCGATCTAGACAATTATTATAAAGCTTGAATCAAATGTTGTCCGACATGTCATTGGTTCATCGATGCTTCGTCCGATTCTTCGGCGCATTGTCATCTCTTACGGCCTATTGCCTAATCAGCCAGTCGACCTTCGTAACTCTAATTTCCTTAGCGTAATTTTCGCTCTTCTTGGCTCAATGCCCGAACCCATGGCTTTAAGCCTTCTGTCGATACGTCGACCGGTCCTCTAGCTCGACGTCCAATCTTCTGATATGTTTTACTCCGGCCCAACATGATTCTTCCTACTTTAATTATCTCTCCCTGATCGAAGCTTCTTGCATCACTCAAAACACAAATCAAATTATAAATACTATCAATTGGTTTCATCATCTAAATCCGAGATTCAACAATCTCCCCCTTTTTTATGATGACAATCAATTGATGATGGAGTTAACCTTAACTCTCTCTACCAATATACCATATTGATAGAACTCTTGAATTCAAAAATCCAAGTCTAAACAATTATGATTCACATCATATGTAATACATTATATACATCATCATAATAAAATCATGAGTATTGCATAGATCATATGTATGATCATTATCTTAAGTATCATCATGGTATCAAAATATCAAAGTATATTGCATCCTACCATGTCTGATTCAATACATCATCATATCTTCTCTCAATTTGTCATCAACAAAAAGAAGTACATTTAGCAAGTTTTTGAGATATAATTTCAAATCATTGCATTTACCATTATGCAAGCTAGCAAGTTTTTTTTACAAAATTTTTATATTTTTTGATATATGCAAGATAGCAAGTTTTTTTTTTTTTTGTCATCTACTTGAAACGTGCATATCTGTAAAAATTATACTACTATAATAAAAGATAACTTTAATGCCATGAAATCAAATAATCATATATCAAATATTAATCATGCATATCTTTTGATATCATTCAGAATACTTATATTTGATTCATAAAACATATTCTATAGTTTCATCGATAAGAACATAACAACATCTAAAGAGTTTTAGACTCAATCTTCTTCTCTCATCTTATTTATCATATAATCACTATAACGATAGAATAGAGATTAGAGGGAAATAAAAATAGATCAATAATCTTGTGTTGTTATCATATATATTGAGTTCCTAGGATATCTTATATATTTATAGGTGAGAGTATAGATAGATTTTATCTCTATTTATCAATAATTATAATTAGAATCTAATTTGATTTATAATATATCTAATTCAATTAAATAAAATCAAATCTATAATATATTTTACTCAATTAAACAGAATCACAAGCAAACGTACGTTGAAGTATAGTAAAAGCATCATCCTTCTACAAAGACAATATTTCTTCCGTACTTCATATTATAAGTTAATGTTAAAAACCTCTTTTCACGAGGACCATCCAAAAGCTCACCAGCCTTTCAGTCATATATTATGTTTACCATAAACAGAATCACATAATCTAAACATCATAGAATCACTTTAAGCTGATTAGTGTCCAAGAGAAAATTTAAAGGGAAAAGAAAATGCCAACTTTTCTGGTACAAATTCATTGTAGATTGATTGGCGGTTTAGAGATGATGAATGTATATAATTTTACCTTTAGATTTATGAAGACTCTTTGAAATTTAAATCATGGATTCTCATATCATAAAGAAACAAGCTTCACCGGTGTACTAGTTTTCTTGATTTCCATGATAGAGAGTAAGATAGTAAATGGCATGGTGGTAGTCAATTTCAATTATATTCCTATCCAACTTCATTGAAATTGATAATGAAAACTGTGTGAATGATAGAACAAGAAAAAAGAAAAAGATGGTTTTAAATTTGTGACAGGGAACTTAATTAAATATGAATAAAAATAAATCTGAAACTTGTAAAACAGATAGATTTGATCCATTCTTAATATCAAATAATAATCTTTTGGATTAAAGTATCATCATTTTCATTACCACCACCAAACTTACCTAAATTATTACAAATTGCTAATGGTGCACCACTTTATTTGGACTGAAAAATTGTAGAGATATCATATGCACTCACACACACAGATAGGCAGAGATATACTATTGATAGAGAAAATTATTGATGAGCACTATGTTATTGTAGATGTGCAAGCCACATTGTCATGTCTCCTGATTGTTTTGCTTAATCGATGTTTTAATTTTAGCATGCTAAAAGCATCGTCCGACGCACAAAAAAGATAACATATAGATCACACAAAAGAATTTTTCAAAGAGAATATATGATAAACATAAAATAATTATAAATTTTCTCTCCCAAATATTATTCTAACTTCTACACATAATATGCAAAAAATACTTTTTTATTATATTTGAATTAAGACAGAACATCAAAACATCAATTTCAAAAACTCATGACTGAAATTGTAATCCAATGACCAGAAAAAAAAAAAAGTCACAAATAAACATCTTTTTTTATGAATTACTATTTATTACTAATACATCCTACCAATAATTAAAGGTTCAGGTAATTGATGATAATTAGAAGACAAATATATGTTATAAACTTTATACACAAAGTTGTTCTCCTTGTAAACAATAAATGTAATTTATATTACTCAAATTATTCCTTTAATATATTTTATCATAACATAGTTTCAACTTTAGTTAATCCAAATATTAGGAAGAAAGAAAACTCATATTTCTATGTATAATTCAGCTTGCATATGGAAGAAATTGGATTTCTCCTTGTTAAACTAAATTTGATTAAGTTAATCAATTAAGATCAACATAAATCTATTACAATAGTTTTTATTTCTTGCGGAGACTTAGGCGCTTCTATATCTACTTAACAATCTACAGTATCTAGTGGCTTTCTTTTTCTTTTTTTTCCAAGATTTAAAATTGTCAAAGAACCCAAACCATTTATCATCCATTTAATAATATAACATAGATGTGAAGGTGAAGGGGGGTTGAAGTGACCTTTTTCCTTTCGGAGAGTGACATTATTAATGCCCTCAAGTTGAATCTCAACTTCATCATTACATTAGCTTAATATTTATTGGGTTCATTTAAAGTAAAATATAATAATAATAATAATAATAATTTAAGTTTGTTATTTTATGGTGATTGGATAATTAAGATATGAGGGAAGGTACATTGGACGGAGAGGATGCCATGTTCGTTCTGCGATCAACGGTCAGATATGGTCTTATCTCCAGATGGCCATTTAGCTGGCATCCCGGGAACGGAACGTGGAACGGCACTTGACGTGGCACCGTCACTCCCGTTCTGGACCCTCTCCGCGTTCAATCCGCGTTGAGGGTAGAACGGGTATTTTATCCATCAAATGCCCAGATAAAGTGCGACCGTAAGAATATTGTGGGAAGAAAGAGGAGCACCAAATTACGATATAATCCCTGTTGTGCTCTCGTCCTTAATGACTATTTTACCCTTGTTTGGGATGTGGCCATCACGAAGAGCTCCCTGCGATATAAACGACGTACTCTACCACTTCACTGCTTACCCGCCTAACCTGTCTCTCAATTTGGGGATTCGTGTGGGCCTCCAAGTCCGGTCATCCTTAAGATGGGACCGGGTAGTTTTCGTGGGTAGGAACCGTGTCGTGTAATATCACGAGTGGATAAGGCTGGAGTTATAATCGTCATTTCGCATATTTCGCAACACGAAGAGTTCGGCAGAAGGAAGATGTCACGTCCGGTTATAAGAGCGTGTGGGAAGTAAGCCATCGCCGGCGAAGTCACGCTCCCTTTTCCTCCTCCCATTCCTTCACGGATCTCTCTTTCTCTCCTCTCTTCCTTCTCGTCTTTGTGAGGTCGATTGCGGAGGAGGCATGGCGGAGCAGCTTACGGACGACCAGATCGCCGAGTTCAAGGAAGCCTTTAGCTTGTTCGACAAGGACGGCGATGGTCTGATCCTCTCGATCCCATTCTGTTGTCATCCTTTGTTACCGCTAGATCTGTGCAGCTGTTGTGCTTTGATGGTCTTCCTTTACTTGGTTTCCACATTTCTTCGATCGGATCTGGTGTTTGATCCCACGATCACGGGTTAGGTTTATACCAAGAAACGGCTCGAGTTTGGGGTTTTCTTGATGGTTGATAAAATGGATAAAGGCTTGTATGGTTATTTCACTTTCTCTTAAATTTTAGACAGATATCAAGACAATAGTGTCCCATTTAACCCTCTCGATCTATTATCCTTTTAGATAGATGATCGCCACAAGCATTTGGATATGTTATTACGTGAATCCATGATTGATTTTTCTAGATATCTGCTTCAAAGATATTTATAGATCACCCAAGCCATTCATTTATTTTAAGAAGAGGATTTAGTGACAGAGTTAAGACTGCAACAAAAAAAACGACATTTTCCATATTTACATGCTAAAATAGTCGATTGATGTATTCAAAAAGTTCTGTAGAAGGCCTGATTTCGGAGAAGAATTTTCCATATGATTACGAATTTGAGTAGATAAGTGAATGTACCATATGATCGTGTCAGCAAACACCTTCACTTCTCAGCTTGATCTAAAACGACATTTAGTAGCCTGAAGATCTTACTTTACAATCCATCATGCCATTTGTCTTATTCTGCAGGTATAATGTGAATGATTTGAAGGAATACAATCTGCTACTGTTCTTTTTAACTTGTCTTTTTGGCTGCTTTATAAAGACTTGGATCAAGACAGTCTTGAAATCCTGGATGCAGCTTCAGGACTGGATGGTTGGTCTTTGTAACTTAGCTTTTTATTTGAAAATGAAAAGGGCAAATGGGGAAGTTAGTTTATCTGCTACCGGAATATAAAGCTATAGTTAAGATATATATGCATATGTATACACACACACACATATATATATATATATATATATATATATATATATATATATATATATATATATATATATGTATACACATATATGGTGACAGAATGAGGGTGCTTGATTATCCAACAAGCATGAACATTTCAAAATGCTCAAGTAGCCAACTTGATCATAGTCTAACTTGTGATATGCTGAACAAGAATGCCAATGACATCCTTTGCTAGAGATATGCTGAACAAGAATGCGAATGACATCCTTTGCTAGATGGAAGCCTCTGATCTTAGGGTATTAATCATGTTGATTTTGTCAACATAGTCAAAGAAAGGTCAATTCAATATGAAGTCTGCCTCACATAATAGTAATGTCATGTTGTTGTTTGTGATATTTGATTGACATTATATTCAACTCTAGAGGTGTATTCTCTTGCATTCATAAACATGTGAGTAGATAGAAATATTGCAATGTTATCTTTTCGTTGGTAGCAAGAACTGCTTCAAGAAAGGAACAGATTTGAATACGGAATTTTAGGTGGATTCCTGACAAAGTATAAAGGGAGCCTGGAGATATCGACAGTTGATTTGCTTATGTTCTGTTACTTCTTAATACTGAGCACTATATAATCTATTTGATTCACTTTATGCATATAGTGTCGTTCTTACTATTGGAATTCCTTGCACATGCAAAAAAACTGAAAAGATGAGTACTTGTATTAGTTGATACAGAGAACTCAGTTAAAAGTTGCATACTGGAGTCAGGAGGGAAGTTTAGGGCGGTTTGTCATGTCTAAAGGAGGTGCTACATTTCTCGCCATTGTGGAAGATTTGTAGATAAGTGGGGGGAAGTTTTGATGAGAGTTGCCTACAACTAAACCTATTTGCTATTTATGTCACAAAAAAGTTCTGTTTGCTTCTTGTTTGAACTCTGTCAATCAATACTCGGATGCTTCACTAATGGTTGATGTTTATGGCAAACAGCATATAAATACCTGCATTGAAATTTATGATCCGTTAATTGTGCCCCATTTCTAAGCATCAGGATTTTTTAGCATTTGATAGAGATGGCGACGCCTAAGTTTACTTACTATGTATGCTTCATTTGGGATTTTGAATTTGTAGAACAATTGTTCTGTCATTTAAAATGGTATATGATTCATTCCGCTACTGTGACATATTTATTCACTACAGACACTACAGATCAAAGACAAGGGGACTTGAATATTTACAGATAGTTGGGTTGTATCTAAGTAGTCCATGCCTTTTTTCAACCTTTACCAACATCTTTGTAGAATTTAAGGTTTGTCCATGATTTGAAAAGTTCAACTTTACAGATAAATAGGTCATGAATGAAACTCTGCCATTTTGAGTAGAGATTTTTCTCACCGAATTTTGGCTTGATGGATAAGTATGGAAATCTCTTTAAATTAATAGATTTTACTTACCAATTTCAAACTGTTGCGAAGAAAGTGCCATATTATGTTACAAATATTTGAAGTGCACTCTTTACAGGTTGCATCACGACCAAGGAGCTTGGTACGGTGATGCGCTCATTGGGTCAGAACCCTACAGAAGCAGAACTGCAAGACATGATAAATGAGGTGGATGCTGATGGCAATGGTACAATTGACTTCCCAGAGTTTCTTAACTTGATGGCTCGCAAGATGAAGGATACAGATTCAGAGGAGGAGCTGAAGGAGGCTTTCCGAGTGTTTGACAAAGACCAAAATGGCTTCATATCCGCCGCTGAACTTCGCCATGTCATGACCAACCTCGGAGAGAAGCTTACGGACGAGGAAGTCGATGAAATGATACGTGAGGCTGATGTCGATGGTGATGGCCAAATCAACTACGACGAATTTGTTAAAGTCATGATGGCCAAGTGAGTTGGATGGATGAGTTGTAAAATGGTAGCTATTGAATAGCCGTAGTTGAACTCTGGGTCTTTCCGGCTCTCTTGGTTGGCTTGAGTGGTCTGGTTGTGTTAAGAGTGTGTTTCTTCTGTGCATCCGCCCCCATGATTTTTTGCTTGGATCATTGGATTCAGGAACGTTTGTTTTCTTGGGTCTTTCTTTACAACTTCGGTAAGTTTGGAACAATTAAGATATATTTTTGTTTGACCAAACATGAATGACTAGCTTTACTTAGTGTTTTCTTTTCCAGTAATTTGTTTTTCTTTTGGTCCTTGGAATTACCCCTAATTACTTCTCGTGCAGTCTGATAAGGACTTGCACAAAAAGAAACCAGATTAGCCATAAGTGTGCACTTTGGACAAACATGTATCATCACTCTGCTGAAGCTTCAATTTCCTTTTGTTTGATCTTTAAGAACATGTATGTCAACTTAATGAGAGTCAGATGAGAAAGAAAAGGAAAACAGTCCTATATATATATATATAGAGAGAGAGAGTGTGTGTGTGTGTGTGATGGTCTTCCTTCTCCTATCCTCCCTCTGGCTTCCTCTCTGATTACCTGCATACTTTATCTTGGTCGCCGTTTATCCCTCCAACTTGTTTTTTCTTTTATATTTTTTCTCTGATCTTTTGATATTTTAGAAATCTTTCAATGTTTATGATTGTTTGAAATTTCTATTAATATATTTGTTTTGTCAATCTTAAACCTGTTTTCTAGTGTTGCTTAAAGTTTGATACCATTTTATCTTTTTTATGTTTATTAAACAGGCAATCGCAGATGTAAGACAATACTGTTCTGTAGGAATTCATAATAACAGAACAAATATTAAAAAAAATTGCCTTTGGAATGAGAATATAAATGGGGATGAATTCATAATAATAGAACAAATATCAAACTAAAATTGCCTTTGGAATGAGAATATAAATGGAGATCCCAAGCAAAATTCATGTGCGTTGATTTATTCTATTTACGAAGAAAATGCAATACAGCAGATAAAACAAAAGACTGAGAGAAACAATAGCAACAAATAGGTAACTTGTTTGCAGATTAGAAGAGAAACAATATTAGTCAATTAGACAAACAGCACCTTTTAAGTCTTCAAGTGTGGCCATTTGGGCTTGTCATCATGCTCATTATCTTGAGATTTGGAGACAACATCCTTCAAGTGACTGCATCAAAGAGGAAATCAATGAAAATGATGAAGACAAGGCTGGATCAAGCTCTCAATGAAATGCCAGATGAATGATAAGCTACAAAGATCACCCTCAATCCATGTTGCTATTCTACTTCGCTATACATTCGAAGATTGAGCATTTGTAACCATGTATAAAAGGAAAAGGTCAAGAAGCATCTATTATGTCAATAGAGATGCTTCAAGGGCAAACTGTCAAGAATTTGTTCACTCCTGTCAATAGGCATGGATCTAGTTTTCAATGAAATGCAAGATGGACAACATGCTACAAACATCACCCTCGATCCATGATGCTATTCTACTTCGCTGTACCTTCCAAAGATCGAGCATTTGTAACCATGGATAGAAGGCAAAGATAAAGCAAGTATCAATCAAATCAACTGAGGAGATGCTTCAAGGGTAGAAAAAAACAAGATTTGTTCAGTTACTAGCAATAGACATGGATCTAGTTTTCAATGACATGCTAGAAACATCATCCTCGATCCATGATGCTATTCTACTTCACTATAGATTTTGAAGATTGAGCATTTTTTAACCAAGGATAGAAGGCAATGGTCAAGAAGCATTCATTAAATCAATTGGGATACTTCAAAGGCAAAAGGTTCAGATTTTGTTCGCTAACTGGCAATAGATGTGGAGCTAGTTTTCGGTGAAATGGAAGATAGATTACATACTACAAGCATTATCCTTGATCCATGTTGCTATTCTACTTCACTATACCTTTCCTGATCATGAAATAGAAGGCAATGTTCAAGAAGCATCCATCAGACCAAATGAGATGCTTCAAGGGCAAAAGCTCAAGATTTTGTCACTTTCTGGCAATAGACATAAATCTAGTTTTGATCAAACACAAGATGGATAGCATGGCACAAGCACCATCCTTCCTTAAGTAACTTTTGAAGATCGAGCATTTCCAAATATGGACAGAGGGCAAAGGTCAAGAAGCATTTACCCAATCAATTGAGATGTTTCCAGACAAAAGATCAACATTCTGTTCACTTTCTGGGTCTACTAGATTACAATGAAATGCAAAATGAATGGCATGCTGCAGACATCATCCTCGATCCATGTTGCTATTCCACTTCACTATACCTCTCAAAGATTGAACATTTGTAGTTGTGGATACAAGCCAAAGGTCAAGAAACATCTCTACCAAATCAATTGAGATGCTTCAAGCATAAAAGATAAAGATTTTCACTTACTGACAATAGACACGAATCTGGTTTTCAATGAAATGCAAGATGAATGGCATGCCACAAACAGCATCATCAATCCATGTTGCTATTCTACTCCACTATACCTTTTGAAGGTTGAGCATTGGCGACCACGGGTAGAAGACCATGGTCAGGAAGCATCCAGAGCATCACCAGCATCATCATCATCCAAAAGCATGGTAGAACGAAGACCACACCCCAATGTACCCATCTGAATCCTTATCTTCTTCCATATACCTTGGATTAGAGTTCACAGCCTGTGTGCCCTGCCACCTCAATCTCCTTCTTGAGATCTCCCTTGGTCCTCTCCTGCTGAGACGCCATCAACAGGGCCAAATACTTCTCTCTGATCTCCTGTAGGGGATGCTTAATTAGGAGATCGCTGCCACCGTAGGCCTCCCTGAGCACGACTGTCTGTATGGCCAGCTTCTGCGACAGGTAGAAGATGCCTGGGTGGCGCTCGAACACCTTGGTGAACTTGAATGGCAGACCGAGCGGCTTCCGAAGGTTGCTCACGTTCCTCCGCCCCGTCTTCTTTGCGATGGTGAGGTGGAGGAGCTCGTGGAAGACCCCCACGATTCTCTTCTCTGAGACGTCGGTCCGGGAATCGAGGCCCGAGGCATCCGCGTACGGGCTAGTATAGGGCAGCGTCTGCCACTCCCGCAGCCACGCCATACACTTCTTCTTCAGCCCGAATCCCCTGGTGAAACTCACCGGGAACGCCAAGCAGTCGCCGTCGGCTGAGGACGCGCTCTTCCGGAGCTCGGAGACAGCGAGGCGAGGGTCCCAAGAGACGAGCTTGAGCCAGATGCGCTCGTCGCCGGGACGGCGGACGAGCTCGAAGAAGTCCGGATGGCGTGGGACGAAGGAGAGGTGGTAGTCCGAGGGCAAGCCCATGTCCCACCGCAGATGGTCGACGGCGTGGAGCGGGAGCGACCTGTCGGCGGTCAGCATGAGGAGACGGCGGAGGCGGTCGACGAGGTCCTGCTCCGCGTCCGCGAGGGCCCCGAGCTCCATCCGACGGAGGCGGAGGGCGTCGTCAGAGAGGGAGAACCAAGGGCCGTCCATGCCGCCAAAGTCGGCAGACTCGCGGAAGACGGTAGGGAAGCGGCGTAGGAAGGCGGCGATGTTGTCGTGGGGAAGGGCGAACTGACGGCGGCACGAGGCGAGGTCCCGTAGGGCAGCCCGGCAGCGGGGCTGCGACGAGATAAGGTGGACGAGGTGGAGGGCGGGGCGGAGGTGGCGCTCGCGGGAGACGGCCCAATCGAGAGGCCGGTCCTTCACCCACTTCACTTTCACGTTCACCAGGGTCGCCCGCTGCTCTGCCATGAATGGGAGGCGGCCGCGCAACCACCGCCGCCCCAAGCACAACATCGCCCGTCGGTTCAGTCCGTTCGACATCGACTTCCATCTTAATATTGTTGGATATATTAAAATTTTATTTATTTAGGTATTTTATCGGAAAAAGCCATACGAAAGACTTTTATTACGCCCACCATATTAAAATTGTCTTTTTCTTTTCACCTGGATGAAAATATTTGTATATTTTTACTCAAATGACTTACTATTATTTACAAAATTTTTAGTTTTGATAATTAATCATTATAATTTTTTAGATAAAAATAATATTAATCATCTTAGAATCATGATCTAATGATTCTAAGACGATTAATATCATTTTATAAATTATGATAATCAACATTTAATTTTTGATAATAGAAGTCATCAAATTATTTTAATAAAATACTGAGGATATTTTCTGTTAGGATCGTTAGTGCAGCGGAAATCTTTCAGCGATTAAAAACGAAAGCTGCGTTCGTTCGATAAAAACTATTTTGATGCAAAAGCCGATTCTAAGATTACTTATGATTAAGTGCAGTTTACGTCTAAACACAGTTTGCATCTAAACGCAGTTTGCGTCTAAATGCAGATTACATCTAAGCTCAGATTGCGTCTAAGCGCAGATTGCGTCTAAGCACAGTTTGCGTCTAAACACAGTTTGCGTCTAAACACAGTTTACGTCTAAGCGCAGTTTAAGTAGAAATATAAAGACAGTGTGCTGCTATTGTTCAGCTCAAAAAGTAATCTGCAAAAAGCAGATTTACGTCTAAACGCAGATTTACGTCTGAACTTTGAAACTCGTTTGTAGACTCGCAGAAGGCAGTATGCAATTGAAATCAAGACGTAAACGTAAACTGAAATCTGATGTTTGTGCGAGGAAAGCCGATTTACGTCTAAATGCAGTTTTACGTCTAAATGTTGAAACTTGTTTGTAAAATTGCAGAAGACAGTTTGCAGTTATAAATAGAATCAAAACGTAAATGTAAACTGCAAAGAGACTCGTTCGTAAAAGCGCAGAAGACAGTTTGCAGTTACAAAACGTAATCATAAACTATAATGTATGAAAGCACCGATTTACGTCTGAATGCAGA